TGTTCCAACCCTAAAATGGCATCCTCTCAACAAAAGAATATATTTTGATCAAATCTGAGCATTTTCCTCTTCTGTTGATTCATGATCAGGATTGAACATACAGTGCTGTGCAAAAGATTTGAGCAGCTGTGGAAAAATAGTGTTAAAAATGCTTTTATTCGTATCACTAATGGTTGGTTTACAAAATGCACAGTGAGTGAAGAAAAAATGTAAATGAAATCGTTATTTGATGTTACTCCCATTGGTGCCTTCAAACCAGCATCAATTCTTAAAGGTGCACTTGCACAAAATCTGGGATTTTGTCAGGCGTATGATCCACCAATTATACCAAGCAGCTGCTAGTTATCGACAGTTAGTGTAGGTTGAAACCCAATCATGAACTGAAACAGAAACAGCTGTGTAAGAGGCTTAAAACGGCATTAGAACCAGCCAAACTGCTACCAAGGTGAGGTTGAGAAAGACCTCAAAAAGCACAGGAACAATACATCTGCATCTACAACAAGGTCTCTCCCAGACAAAGATTTAAAGGCAGACTGGGGTTTCAGGATGAGCTGTTAGAGAAGCCATTAGATGAACAATGTTTGGGGTTTGAGACGCAGTGGATGGCAAGAGACTAAAGATGTCCTCAGCTTAGAACTGGCAGAAACCAGTGGCACACTGTTGACTCCAGTACGCATGAAAACATAGGTAAAGGGGCGTGACTTTACAAATTGATTCTGTTTTGAAGGCAAGGTGTCATTTGCTGTTACTTGGCCATTGATGAAAATAAAATAATTTTTTGGTTACCGTGTTTTTTCCCCACTTGCCTAAAACTTTTGTACAGTACTGTGTATGAACTGATAAAACAAACAAGAACAAACAGCTAATGGCTAACACGCTAATATCATGCCCAGGAACAATCAAGAGATTCTCTGTGCAGAAGATGAACATGCTCAATCTTTTGTTTTTATTTTTAATTGTTATTGCCTCCACAAAGTCACAGTCGATCAAAAAGAAAGAGACGTTTTTGCCATTTTCAACTTGAGGAGGCAACAGAAAAAAAAATAGTTTCAAATTGAAAATCCAAAAATATGCACAGATTATAATCAGCCGTTGTATTCCATGCAATTCTGATTTAAAGAAAGAGTGGATGAAGTTTATCCTCTTCATTTCACATTCCAAACTAAAACTCCTAATATACCTAAATTCTTTTTTTTTCTTGTCTCGTGTTGGATGTTAAAGGAACACTATGGAACTTTTGCTCATAGTTTTCCCCTAAAATCAAAAACATTAATAGCAATATCGTTTTTTGTGCATGAAACAGTCAAGCTTTGCACTTTTAGGAGCATCATAGTGCCGCTGCAGGCGATACAGACACTCTGTTGTTGCTCTCCACAACTCCATAGTGTTGCTTTAAGAGAATTTGATGAGTGACATGCTACTGATGTAGTTTTTAAATCAGAGCAACCTCCATCTACAAAGAGAACAGTGGCGGATGCCGAACAGACCCACGATGTCTGTTATTGTAGCCATATTCCACTGCCACATCATCTCAACATGCGCACAGACCATAACCAGCTCTGGAGGTATTTGTCGTGCTCCTGTGATGGGTTTGATTCCTGGTCGCTGTGTCATTTCCCCCTGCTGTCTCCTACTTCCTGTCTAATTACTGTCCCATCTTGGCCCTGTCCACTTGTACCCGGTTATTTTTTTAAAATGATGGCCAAAGTACATCATTTTAAAGACACTGTGAGCTCTTGTGTGGACAGCAAAAACAGGTTTTCCCCGTTTTGGGGGTGGAGTTTGTCATTGTTGTCTCGCCTTGTGCTTGGTGTCACTGCTTTGTTTACAAGAAGACGGATGAAACAAAGACTCTGTTGCTGTTTACTCTGCTACCATGGCTTTCAGCATGTACAGGATTACATACAAATGTTTCCTGCTTGGTCAGTGGCGCCTGTGTTTTTGCAAACTCAGTGCTGAATACTTATTTTATAAACGGTAAAGTCGTTACAGCGTTAATGGGGGTTTTGATTGTTTATGTGGACGCAGTTTTGTTTAAATGAGCACTTGTGGACGCAACCTAAAAGAAAAATATATTAAAAATGAAAACATTGTTCTTGTGGACATGGCTTAAAAATGGCTACCCCTCCCCATGAACAAGACTATGTTAATGTAAAATGTGCAAGAATTATTTGAACAAAATTGAGCAGATAAATAAATTTAGACACCAGAAAAGAAAAATAAACATTTTTGGTAACCAATGATTTAAGAAAGAGGATGAAAATTTACCCAGACTTTTACATACTGTTTTAAGTACAGTTTTGACTCAAAAAACAGCGTTTTTTTATACCCCCCTCTCTCTCTTTTTTTTTTTTTTGCATTTTATGAAAACAAGCTTTATATGCTTTTCGTGTCCTTTTTATTGAAAAATCATCTCTTTTCAATAATTATTATTCGCCATCAACTGAAAAAAAATGTATTACAGCTGGAACAAAAGTCTAAATCGAATTGAAATTCTGTCTCGCACACAAACCGACAATGACCAAACATGGGCAGACGCGGCCCCTTGAGGTATTTTGAAGGAACGGTGTGTAGTAATCGATGTCAGCTGACTCCAGATCAGTCTGAATGGTGCTCAATGCCTGTGTGCCTGATAACAGCGCGTCTTTGTTTTTCTCTATAATCTTCACCGCCAGAGGGCACTGTGCCCTTTCAGATAAACCGCTTTGCTTTAATATCCTGCCTTAAAAAGGATGTCAAATATTAGTTCCAAATACTATAAAAGAAACCTATGGTTACGCCGTGTGTGTGATTTGTGTTCCGACAGATTTGCCTTATTTGAGGGAATGGTGGTGATGCATGATGTATGAGCTCACCCTCTTTCTGTTGAATTTACTTGAATATCTGGGAATATAATACTGGTATTATTTAGTCTAAATCCCTTTTATGCTGATATCTATTTTTTCTTTCTGTATTGTTATTTTGCACATGTTACATTGAAAGGTGTAAAGGTTATGAAGGTTAGAGAATTACAAACAGGATCTGTACAATCACTGTGTGCGTGTGATATATACAGTAGCCTCTCGTAATACATTCTCCTGCATGTGTGTTTGTGTGCGTCTCTATATGTGTGAACTGGTTTAAACGCTACCAGTAAAAATCCTCTATCAAAGATATTTATTCCTTGTACAGAATCTCGTATTAAGTTAAAATTGAGTTATGGAGATATTGTTGTAGCAAAAAAATCTGTAAGTTGTGTGTCTTGATATGTAAATGATACGCATTCGAATGGAACTTATTTCTGTGTTTAAACACTGTTTTGTTTTATTGTAAAAGTTCTTTTTAGAAGGTGACTTCTTTAGTGCGCAATTTACAATTTTGCTGCTGCAATGACAACCCCATACTAAACAGCTTTGAATAACTTTATGGTTATTTCCCTGAATCAAACCTAAAATGTTCTTTTTGACTAAGCTGTGTCTTACTCATTCAAACCAACCTTGTGATGTATGCCACTAGATCGTGTGATCTCAGTCTATATTATGTGATATAGACTTTAACTATCTGTGTGTGTGGAGGACATAGCTGGATTATGTTCTCTGAAGACGACTACTTGTTTTAGTAGATATTTGAAGCCATATCACTCACAGATATAACTCCATGTCTGTGGACGAAACGTTATGATTAGAAATGTATATATAAATATATATTATATGAAATGAAAGACTCTACACTGATGTGCTTCGGTTTTGCAGTGTTTCATTGAGAGCGTTCCAGGAGTGCTGGTACAAACCATGTCAGTGGTTGCCCCAAAACATCAATTAAAACAGTTCCTGTGATTTAAGGTTGTTTGTGGTGGTTCTGTAGCTTGTTTTAGATGTATATTTGTAATTATAGCACTGAAGGTGCGTAGAACCCTATACTGTAATCACTAAGAGTATTATTGTTTTGTGATTTTGGTGAATTTTGAGGGACTAAACGTGTACAGAAAGTAGCCGAGTTTCGCTTACAACTGGTAAGACTTCACATTTGATTGGGGTTTGAAAATTGAGTGTTGAAAAATGGCTCTATAGTGCCACCCTCAGTTTATGGTGCGCTAACAGTTTTTTTGTATGCAAACGAAATTCGGCACAAATGTGTTGGGTACCGGCACTTATATGTTGAGGTCGCGTTTTTAAACTCGAAAAGAAAATTGTTTTTTAAAACCTCTTAAAAAGGGCCACTTTTACATGTCATGCTTCTACGCGTCATAACAAACTCATAGAGATTGTATCCGTTCATCTCCAAATCCATCAGTCTAATCCTAAAGCTTATGTGATGAAAAACTGTGAAGCTTTTTCGACTTTATTTGATATGAAAAACAAAATTATGAATTATAAGGAAGTAGTTAGAACACTGCCATACATTGTCTTGACACAATTAAACGTGTCAAGATTACATGCCTGAGCCTACAATATCAGCTATAGCACCACCACGTGGCCACAGGAAACACTGCATTTAACGGTACTTCAATTTTGACATTAATGATAAGAACAGTGGCCATATTCTTAACAATATTCATCGTCATAGCGCCACCAGGTTATCTGACACTTTATTTTGTGTTTATTTGTTTTTCGGAAATGTTTACAAATTGTGCTTGAATACACCTCCCAATAAAGGTCTGGTTATAGTGCATATATGCAAATAAAAACATGTTGGAAAAGTGTCGGATCGTGAGCTGTCCAGATTGCGTGTAGACTGCAGATGGGTTAAGCTCCACCCACTAAACATAGAGCCCGCCCACTGAACATCCAGGTGCCTTCTTATTGGTTGTAGATGAATGACATAGATGAGTCATGGTGTTGCTTCCACTCTTAACAGGTTGCGGGTTTATGGCAATCCGTTATAACATTTAAACATCTGACCTGACTACACAAATGCATTTAAAGATAGGAATAAATGTATTGCGACTAGTAATAAATATATTTTGACTGGGCGTAAAGACATTTAGAGATACATTCCATTTTAATTCCACATACCTGGAAGCATGACACGGGTATCGAACCTCGGTCTCCCGTATGATGGGCGGCAGTGTTACCACTACACCACACTACTTAGAGTCTCCACTTTACTAAGACATTATATAATAATCGAGTTTGACAAAACCTTATTAATAATAAAGTTGTGTAATTGTATAGTTCGAATATGTATTTGTCGTTTCAAAATGGTCATACACATAAGTATATCGGTAGTATATGTATACGACTGGAGAAGTCTAGAGTGTAGTATAGGATAGTGTAGTGGTAACACTGCCGTCCTTCTCATGGGAGACCGGGGTTCGAATCCCGGAGGATCCGTGATACTACACTAAAGCTGCGGCTTGGAGGAGTCCTGACGCCAGGACAGAGGGGATGCACATCCTCCCCTCTCACCAGGACCAGCGCCGAAGAGGACCGGAGAATGGTAAGTGGTAAGTTTAGCTTAGTAGTAGTAGTAGCAGCTTAGTGGGGTATCATGTGAGAGACTGGGATTTCCGATCCTGGTTGAGCATGAGAATGACGGCATGAGAATGACGGCATGAGAATGACGGCATGAGAAGAGAAGACTGCGGGTGGGATGAGAAAGATAGCGTGGGAGAGTACAATTCAATATGTAAATATAAGTATAAAAAAAATATATAAATATAGAAGTGTAAAAAAAAAAAAACTAAAGTAATAAACAACTTTCTTTCTTTTAAACTTACTTTCTTTCTTTTAAACTTACTTTCTTTCTTTTAAACTTACAAGTAAGTTTCTTTTTAACTTTCTAAACATACAAAATTATTTAAATAAAAAAAGTAATGTCTTTTTAAAGTACTTTAATATTTTATTAACAATATATTTAAACTAGATTGAAATCCAGTCAATTCTGAGAATTCATTATGTTCTCATTATAATATATCATATTACCACAATTCATGTGATACCATGATATATCCCAAATGAGTGCACTCTTATTGTGATGCTCTGGGAAGTTTAAATAAACTGCTTTTATTTGTGATGCACTCTGCAGTAAGCAAAGAATGACTTTCACAATCAGCATATGGAGCTATGAGAACGATAAGAACCTGACTTCTTGCAACAGCAATCTCACAGACGGTTAGTGACAGAGTTACTTATAATGACATGCGTGCAGTGTCCCGCCCCCGTGATGACACTGCACCAATCACGAGAACAGAGTTCCAACCAGCCGCTACATATGTTTAAGGTACATAAAATATAATCATTGCTACAAACTGAACGCCTATTCCAAACATCTGTACATTTATTTTACTGGTATTGTTCTGTAAATACACCGACAATAAAGCTTCGCTCTGTGTGATTGGACTGGTGTTGTGTTTGAGACATGGGTTTTATTTGGAGGTTTCATGGAAATCAAGAGAGTTTGAAACAAGGCTTTAATGAAACCATCACCTGGGTTCTAGAGAAACCCTTTATTATATTCATCCAGGGCTTCCAGGCGGAGCAGGATCTCCAAAGAGACTCCTCTTCTCCTCACAACCTTCAGTAATGGACCTCCATTCGTCAGTGAAGACCACAGCCATAAACTGCTCCACCAAACAGTTCCATGCTGCAGCCCCAGCATCCGAGACGATCTTGGAATCTCAGGAAACAGCAGCAATGAAGCTGCTGCTGCTGCTGCTGATGATCATGATGATGATGATGATGATGATGAAGACCAGGTTGGAGTCTCCACCGTCAATCTAAAAGAAGGAGAAAAGACAAACATTTAAAGGCAGACTGCAGATAACAAATGTGTTTGTACTACACTGGTGTCTTCTACATCATAATTTCTGTTTAAATTTTCTAACTTTACCTGTATTTAGCATTTGCTCTGATTTTTTGATTTCATTGTTAAAAACTAAAGTTATTTTTAATCTTTTTATTAAAGTCCTGTCCGTTCATAAGACTAGCAGTATGTAGTGGTTCTCGGTCATTATTTACACAGAATAAATCATGAATACTGACCAGAGACAGACGCTCCTGCTGGAGCTGCCCGTGCAACAGGTTCGGAGCTGCATATTATTAAAATAACTCATTAAATTACTAGTAAAACTGAGCTTTTGTAATTTGTCACCTTCCATCACTGGAGTCCGAGGACATTCGGTGCAAAGTGAATAATTTTCTAAGTGGAGTTCATCAACAGAAACTTGGTTCACGAGGTTTTCAGGATGTGCTTGTGTCCAGTTTTACCACAAATGTTTGGTTTTAATATTCTAGATGAAGAACGGGTGTTTTAGAACCTGTGTGTGTGTTTAGCACAAGCTAACATTTTTTTCAATCGGGCTGATGACTGGCAGGCAGCCATGCGCAGAGGAGGCTGATTGAGGCGTTTCCAGGCTCTGGAGGCCCACAGAGGAAACAGCAGGAGAAGGAGGGCAGGAGACAGAGGGAGAGATACAGGAGTGAGAGATAGAGAGACAGAAGAGAAGAGAGGCCATGGATCAGGAATCAGGTTCCCGTGGGATGGAGCAGGTGCAGGCTGCGAGCGAAGCCTTTGGGCCTGATGGGGCAGCCAGAGCTTAAAACAATCTGCATAGTACATTCTTTTAATTTAGCTTCTTCCGAACCCCAGTCTCTCTCTCTTCCTCTCTCTCTCTATTGCCCCCCCCCCTCTGCTTAACAGATCAGTGCTCCACAAAGAGGGGTAAACAGAGAGAGGCAAATTAAAAAGGGAGCTCCCCAGATACCCTCAAAACAAATTAGTGCAAACAAATTACACAGAGTCAACACACAAACACTGCAGCATCTGTGGCTTTGGAGAGAGGATGGCAGAGGCTGGCACTGCCGGGGCATTCGTGTGGCACCAAAACAAACATCCAGTGACTTCAGGTCATTCCACTCTCTGGCCTGCAGCAGATCATTTTAACGCTCCTGTTTGTTCTCGCTAACAGTCAGAACCAGTTCCATTTAGAATATTCAAATGAGCTTCAAGTTGAATGTATTACCAGTTTGTGTACTTTGAAATCTGAAATTAGTTTGTTCAAAATACGACGCCATTGATTCATACATTGTTTTAATTCATACACTTTTTTTATATGTGTACAACTAAACATTATTTGAAAGAACAGTAGAAATTAACTCCTCTTTTCCTTCTAATACCAGTCTACAGAGATCGAAATATCGAAATTGTATGAGTGCGTAGTAGAGGAAGGTTTGACACAATAAGAAAGAAAATTCATCACCATCTTAAAAAACATTTTTACAGAGGAATTTGGAGGCATCTGGAGGGAATGGCGGGGACGTCCATTAAATTCAATTTAGAGTATAATGCCAATTGTATTCAAATAACCGAATTCCAATCCGTGCAAATGAATGGGCTCTGTGATTTCCTGTGTGGTACTGTATGTGGTACAATGACCGCTGCCCAGCCATAAAGTGGTAGGCCATGGATCGTACACAGATAGATGGCACTTCCTGCTAAACATTGGTGTTTGTTGCACTTCCTCCGGGGCCCATGGAACAGATAATCTTGGTGGTGGGGCAGTGACAAGGAGGTCTCTCTGTCACTCTCTGCAGTCGACCGTTTCTCATTAGCTGCTCTGGGGTCAGGTGTTGTTTCCCAAGCCCCTGTCCTTCCTCCTTTACCAGAACCAGAAGCTTCCTTCCTCTGCCTCCTTTGCGAGATCCTTCAGTGCCTTCCTCAATTTTCCTCCAGTCACGGCTGCGTCCCTTAATTATTGACAGGCCCACAAAGTCTCAACATTCTACCTCCACTGGGTAGATTCACCCTGCCTCCCTGCACTTGCCAGCCAGCTTTGGAGTATCTTCTTTGTTTAGTGTAACCGTTAATTCAATGAGGTGGTGTTCTATGCCATGGCCGGCGAGATGTGATGGCAATCATTGTGGTAAACTGAAGCGGTGTTTTGAGATCAACTCACTTAAAATGACAAGCGTGCGGACAGCAGACCCTGAGGCACAGCCGTGGTGATCCTCATGTATAGGGCCATAGATCACCGGATGCAGGCAGCCAATAGACTCTATGTTTCAAACTGTGCTTCTACATCTGGCGATCTGTTGTATGAGTAGGAAATCTTTCCTTGATTCGATGGTTACTGTGGTTCACTGGGCTTGACTCAGAGCTATTTCCCTTCAACTTTTCTGGGAACTTTTCTTTGAAAGCTCGACTGCACACCAGTACAAAACAAGGTCCTTTAAGATCCTCTTCTGGTTTGAAGAGCTTTGACTGACTTGGACTTGATGGAGAAACCCAGCAGAGACACAGCAAGAGATACAAGCTGACAGGAACCAAACAAGGAGAGTCAGGAGGCATGAACCGTAGGTCAAACAACCGTGGTGGAGCTAGGCAGAGTGTGTTAAGTGCTGGAAATGTTGATGGGAATGAGAGAGACGTCAATTTTATTAGATGAGTCAAATAAAACCGTATTTCACAAAAGAAACCACATGAATCCTGTTGTTCTGTTTATATAAAAACCTGTAAATGGCCCTGTGGAGTCAGTCTGTAGAAAACTGGCAGAGAGCAGTCTAGAGTCTAGCTGCCAGACACTTTCATTTATTCATTTAGTTGCCTGCCTGCTTGTTTACATACTGGCTCATGGAAAAGTCACAAACACAGCTGAAAGTCAACACATTTCCCACACTCCATATGGAACATGGTTCCTTCAGCCTGGGTGGAACTAACAGGGAATCACAAGATTGAAAATCAGGATATTTGGAGTGCAGCCTGCATCGTGCTTCTGCTCTGTCCTGTTCTAGTTCAATCTGTTGTGTGCAAATAACTGCACCGTGCCAAAAGCTACCAACTATAAAGAATATCTGAAAGAATCCCAAAAGTGTGAGTTGCATAGAAGATAATTGTATCCTGGCAAAACTGGTGACACTTCCATCTTTCCTGCTGCTCGGGTCTTTTGTGAGAGGTCTGTCCAAGACCCTGCTCACCTCAGGCTCAGGTGCAGCCCAAAAAGTCCAGGAGTCATTTTCGACAGGTGGCGCTGATTTCTTCAACAATTCATCCTTTGTTTCTTTGATGGCATCCCATATGTTTTGGATATCCATTGGAGAGGAGCCAGGGAGAGTTTGCATGTGCAGGTGTCCACCAACACGGCTTCCCAAAGC